GTTATTTCCGCAAGGATTTATCCGTCCCTCCCCTGGGGAATCCGGATAACAAGGGCTGCGTACAAGACGAGGACCGAACTTCGAAGAAGATCGGTCGAAGCACGAGGTATGAAGCGTTGAGCGAAGTAAAAACCGAAGATTACACACCGCTACAATTGGCGAAGTGGTTCCATAAACATTTGGTTCTAGTGTCGGCCCTCGCGGAGGAATGTCTTAAAAATGATAATCCAAACTCAATTAACCACCACAGATTAACATTTGTACCGTAATGTCACGGAAGGATGATACATTAGACAGATTTCGGAACACGTTCCCATGCATTTGCCGTCAATTTACCTCGTTAAAATTTATCGAGTTTACGGGAACTGTCAAAATTTATGTGGGATGCCGTAGAAACGGCCACTTGTACAGCAAAGGTCATCCCTCCTCTAGGGCTTCATCATTGGTCTTAAATCGTGGATTTCAACCAGTCGCGCATAATGCACACTTCTTCACCCTTCCATGCCCGACGTGGCCTGGTGTCCAGCCTTTTCCACGCTAAGTTAGGCCATTCCGAGAGTTCAGGTGGAGCGATTACGTGCATCTTATCTTGTCTTATTCATTCAGCCAGTTATCCTGAACCTTCTCCAGCAGTCGGCGTTATTGCCTTGGTTCGTTGTCCTGCCACGACGATTTGAATATGGGGCCTCGGTGTTTCGCCTATAGGCGCATGAAGCGTACAGAAAACTCACAATTCTCATCCGCATGTGCACATAAGGGACATGGTCGAGTACTCAGTTGCTCCCCTCTAATCATGAACTAAAATCACCAAGCGGTTTCGTAAGGTGTCGTAAAGCCACTCCCTTGCTCAACGTGGCACGCAAAAACTGGGATCATAGTGATAGTAAAGTTGTGGACCCATGAGGTGTGTGCCAAGACCCCTTCGTGATGCCAATTGTGGTAATGGGTCCACATGAGTAAGCTTATGCAATGCAAGCATACGGATATCGTTCCTCATGCGGATGTGGTAAATGCAAATAAGTTTTGTCGAAATCATGAGTTGGGTCTGCCATATATTTCCCGTGCATTAAAATTTCCGTGCGTGGGAAGTCTACGGCAGTGCTTCCGAAATCTGTCTATTCGCGTTGTTAAGAGTACACTCGTTCTTGAACCTCAGGTTCAATCGCCACCATGATTTCCCCTCTAGGGTTTGAATTGAACTGCAGTTGGCTGAACAAGAACCTTCCTCGCTTGTCATTTACACAATTCGATGCCCCCTATTTCAACCTATGTACCCAACTTCCCCATTCGCTTCGACCATTCTACGTGTATTATTGTCCTTTTACCCTAAATTTGGACTTTAGTGCCGAGTCGCCAAATCTATCGATCGATTCTTGTACTGAATTTTGTATGTAAAAAGGGCTCCTGTGATGATTGATATCACACTAATTGAATTCTCACACTAATTTCACGTTGTTGATGGTCTCCTGAAATCTGATTGGCTAAATACTTCTGTCCATTCTTCTGAACATTTGGTTTTGTCGATTCATTCTCCATGTCGCTCCAGTTTAGAATAAACACAACCATACTATTTTACAATAATCATCACGCTGTTTTACGAGACACTAACGTGGAACTGTGTGTGAAGGACATGCAGGGCGTAGATCGCCTTGGCATGGGACAAATCGGCTGCCAACACGGCTGTAAACTAGGTCGATTGATCAACAAAGTCCCACATTGTTTGGTGTTTAGTTAGTACCTTGGTCGCGGCCAGCTGTGGATGGCCCAAGTGCCAGTAGGCCAGCCCCGCGCTGTACATGGCTTTGGGGTGGTGCGGGTGCATCTTGTGAGCGATTTCAAACGCCTCCAGCGCCTTAAGGTACTCTCCCTGCTCAAATACGTCGCGCCGACGTTCACCACCACCGACGCAAACGACACGCCTGCAAAAAAATATTTATAGTTCGTCATGCATAGGACGCATAGAAGTTTGGTAGGGCTAGTATACGCCACAAGTTTGGTAGGGCTAGTATACGCCACAAAACCAGATGGGCCCCTCGCGGAGGAATATCTTAACAGTAAAAAGGAGAATCCAAACTCAATTAACCACAAAACCAGATGGTATATATATTATATGTTGTCCGCATAGTACGTGATACAATTACATACATGTACTACCTCTGTCCAATTATAAGTGGTCGAATTTCGAAAAAGTCAGTTTTTTCCTTGACCAATGGGAGTTCGGGCATTATATGATACCCATTGGAACGGCAAAAGTGTTAGCTATCCGAATACGATATTGTTTACTAATAAAACACAACAAAAGTATACCAATTTCCAGAAAACCCAAGTGTTTGTTTCTCAATTGGAATAGTTTGCGTTTCAACTAATCACAGGCTGCCATGCAGTATGACGGCCAATCAAAGTCACGAGTGCATATCGTAATTCATACCGAATCTCCAATATATTATATTAACCATAGTATCCAAAGTTGGTATTTTAATACCAACTTTTTACGGGACAGCATTTATTATTAAAATAATAAATGCTGTCCCGTAAGATGTGTGGAACGACGACGACATCAACAGTATTTTTATTGTATTTCTATAAAATATGCTTGGTTTTGAGGAAATCAGAAATCCTCGACCAAACTTGATAGCCAGCCAATAAGAACACTGCATTGGACACCACATGGTTTGAATTTATATTCGGATATGTATAATGAAACCAAGATAAACAAGTTCAAGGAGGGAGCAACATCTCGAGTTTGGCGACTTGGACAAAAGCTTACAGTTACCAGTTCACCTCGTTCGACACATTCGGCAATCGATTGATGTACACCAAGGGCGTGGTGCACTCGCTGACGGCGAATGCGTTCTGGGGTTTGGCTCCGATCTTTTGGAAGCAGCTGACCATGGTGCCGTCTGTGCAGATGCTAGCCCATCGCATTGTGTGGTCGTTGCTGCTGCTGGTCGCGATTTTGGTGGCGACTGGGCAATGGCCCGAGTTCCGCGCGACGGCGTTTCAACGGCCAGCGTTGGTCACATACTCGTTCTCTGGGGTACTCATGGGAGTGAACTTGTTTCTGAGCGTTTGGTCGGTTGTCAACGGGTACATCGTCGAAATGAGCTTGGGGTACTTCATTAGTCCGCTCGTGAACGTCGTGCTGGGCGTGGTGTTCCTGCGCGAGCGACTGCGGGTGTGGCAAACTATATCGGTGGGCATGGCCTTTGCCGGAGTGTTGGTCGTGGCCATCGCGTACGGTGAGTTTCCGTGGCTAGCACTCACGTTAAGCTCGACGTTTGGGCTGTACGGCCTGGTCAAGAAGAAGGCGCCGCTGCCGGCGTTGCATGGCATCGCTATGGAACTCGGCATCTTCTTTCTGCCGTCGGTCATGTACCTAGTGGTGGAAGAGTTTCGTCATGAAGCGGTCTTCCTGTACAGTGACTGGCATGTCGCTGTGCTCATCGTCGCCTCGGCGTTCATCACAGTCGTGCCATCGATCTTTTACTCGTCCGCCGCCCAGTTGATTCCGCTGACATTGCTGGGCATTTTGCAGTACATTGCACCGAGTTTGCAGTTTCTTGTGGGCGTGATACTGTACGACGAAGACTTTACCATGTTCAAACTGGTCGGGTTTGTCTGTGTCTGGACTGGCCTAGTCGTGTTCACCGTTGAAAGCGTGTACATGCAGCGCCAGACGAAACCACCAAGTAATGGTGACAACGATACCGACAGGATGCCCGTCCTCACGACGACACACGCCGCTGCTGGTAACATTACTCTGGACACATCAATTCAACGTCATGATCATCCGAGTCATATATCTCAAGAAGGCGACTTGTATCAGCCCTGTGCGACTTCCAAGGCGGCGGCGTGAGAACTCACGTAGAGAAGTTTATGGTAACTACCCTTGAAAACGACCTTGTACAGTACTCGTGTCTCTGGACAGGGGCGACTTCAACGCTAAAACGTGGTGCTTTACTCCGGAGTAGTAAGTATTACACTGTCAAATCAGGCAAAATAATACGAACAGCGGTTTTTATCGCATCCTGTTATTAATAGTATACGGAAACAGTTCTTACTTGTAGTACGTGTATACATGTATGGAAAGCAGGTAGTGCCATGTTGATGGAACTAAGGAAAAATGGCCATTCACACGTAAAATAGTTGTATCGATTGGGCTTTGGTTGAGTTGCCGATGCACTCGACGAGTGTCGTGTAAAGCGCGTTGAAAAGATCAAGCAAAGTGCTTGTTGGGTTTCCGTACTGTAGCTGGTAATGTTAGTATCAATATTAAAAGTCAACGTCCCCATAGGCATAATATTATCAAAGATAGAGTTGTGTCGATATATATCTCGCATGTACAAAAAATATATATACACTCTCTCAAAGCCCGACCTCAAACGATGCACGGTCTCTCCTTGTGCGCTCGAACCCATTGCTCTTGGGTCTCTTCGCGGGAACTGCGTATGTCCGTGGCTTCGCTACAGAAGTACGCGATGTCGCGGCCCGTGTACTTGGCAGCCTTCAGCATGCGCACGCGCTCGAGGTGGCTGAATCTGTGGACGCCATTGCCGGCGCTGGTACTTCGCACGAAGCTACTTCGCGTGGTGTTGCTGGAGATGTCGACAGTGGTCGAGTTCACATGATACGCTGCGAGTCCGATGGGGGGGCCGGCACATTCGGGGATGGCGCTGCCGCCGTAGTCCAGGGGGAACACGAACGTTGTGACGGACGAAAAGCACAGTGACTTCTTCTTAGATGGATGCGCGGGTGTCGGAACGACGTCCATGCTTGCAGTGCGCGGCCGCTTGCCGCGGATAGGTGGAATTGTTGGCCTCGACGCTGATCGAACGTCGGAGGTAGCAGTGAGGAACGGACTTGTGACGTCGCTTGGGGAAGGGCCAAGGAGACTGGCCAGGCTAGCACTAGTGGCGCATCCATGATGCAGGGAGCTATCCTCGTCGCGCGGCATGGGGGCAAGTCGGGACGACATGTCCTTGGCGGTGGTGTAAATGCAGTTACGTCAAATTTATGCGGCAGTGTTCTCGCTTGCTCTTTTGAGTTCAGAAGGTAATTGTAAGGTGTATATTATTTCAAAATATATGCAACATTAAACGAATTTATATTATTAATATAAGTTCAGTTACTCGATTTTTATTCAATTACTGTATCATATGAAGAAAAACAACCACAAAGTACGATTAAATTCCACCAATATACCCATAATTATCGCTTAGTACATAGTGTCGGTTGCGATTATTCCACAGAGAGGATGGGCGCCCCGCCATAGCACCATGACAAATGTCCAGAGGTAGTTTCCGACGGCGATAATGAGGTTGACAAGAGCTGCCGCCGTCACCGATATAGCGGCAGGTTGGGAGATGTCATCTCGGCACCGCGCTCGACGAAGCGCATGCACATTCCACAAAGTACCTCCCAGTTGCGTAGAGGCAGCAGGTGTATGCCCTTTGTGATCCGCCCAATACTACTACAGTACTTCGAGTAATACTATTAGTACTGTACTAGTAATAGGTAAGTTATAGACAGCATGCTACATGTATCGTCAGGGGTGGAGGAGCGTCGGCAAATTCATGCATAGACTGCGGGAACCCATGCACATGTGGAGGTGCATAGCACAAGGTGGTGTGGTGCGCCGCCTTGGCAATGAAGGAAGAACGAGACTTCCCAACTAAGTGAAAATGAAACTGCCCAAGTTCACGAAATATTTGCATATTTTTCGAAACTTGGCGTTGGAATAAATTTCAAGTGGTCTATTTTGGACTAATTGCACTACAAAATTGGGCAAAAATGAATAAATTGTTGTAGCCAATCAGCATGGAGATGGAATACCATAATGAACATCGAATGTGAGTATATTTGAGGTACATTATGTTATTTTTTTCCCTGAATTGTGTTTTTTTTTTCTCCTGGATCCCTCAGTATGCAATTTTCTGTGGCATCGTCCCAACCACATGCACAGACGACAAAGCTTGCGGCCGCGGCAGTTGGATGTGCATTCCCGAATCCGTCTCGTGCGCTCCGATGCAGACATTGACGTCGATGGCGATGAGCAGGACGGGGCCGTCGCTGCACCGAGCATTACGTCGTTCCAGGAACTGGCCGAGGTACCAATCACTCCACATATGGCGGGGCATGGGATGATGACTTGCGGTAGATGGCAGACGACCAACCCGCCAAGGTCAAACGGAAGAAGAACATCCCGATCCCCGTGAACAAACTCGTGCCCAACTACGACAAGGACGTGCTGCCGGACTTTCATCTGCCCACGAGTTACATCAAGTTGAGCTTGAACTTCCAGACGTCGTCGTCGTCGTCCGCCGCAGCCCCCACGAACGCGCCATTGTCTTCATCCAACGCCGCCACGGCCACGTCCACTGGAGAAAAGGTCGAGGTCGACTTGGAGGTCGAGGACCTAGCCTGGCTTCGCGACCATCCTCGGTACGGCGACGCCGCCGACCCGCGGTACCAGCTGTCGCCAGACACGTTCGCCAAGATGCTGGATCTTCTCGAGAAAGCTTCCGCACTCATCAACCCCGGGGTCATCACGTTGGCCGAAGCCGACGACATCTTCGCCAAACATGTCGTCGTCATCAAGAGCCCATGCCACAAGGTCTCCACCGACGTCTACAACTACTGGGTGGCCAAGCGGGCGGCGCTCAAGCGGCCGCTTCTGCGCAAGTTCTGGCCCCAGACCCCGCTCAACGACACGAATCCGCACTTGGTGTTTCGGCCGCGGGAAAAGGTACCCGCGGCGTTGGTCTGAAAAAAAGAAAAAAACGTTTTTTTTTGTACTTTTTTTGTATACGCGAATATTATATTATTACTGTATGTATAATGTGTGGGTGGATTTTTTTTCAGTTTTTTTTTCTTCATCTTTTTTTTCACACAATGTCGAGCTTGTTTGCTGTCACACTAATTTCGGTTACAAAGTCAAGGTTGACGACGATTTCCTAAAACCTGATTGGCTCCGTCCATGCTGTTGCTTGGTGATATAAACGGTGTCGCATGTAATACACGGTGTCGCATATGTGTTTTGATGACTATATATGTACTGTAGGAGCGCTATAAATTGCGAAAACATCGCAAAAATGACATGGAAGGGCTTCGTAAATTGCAGCAATTGCGGCACGATTTTGACCGCGTCCGACACTTGCTGGATCTGGTGCGCCGCCGTGAAAAGTACAAGCGCCTGCTGGTGGACTTTCTAGACGAGACGCGGGCGCAGCAAATCCATCTTGAGCTTCAGGGAGTTCTTCCGTCGCTGCCGCCGCGCCAGCCCAAGGTAGATTAGTCCATATATTTGGTTAATATTTGGGCTGCTGATGTTCCCCAACTCTATCAGTTTATTATACTGAATATTGGATGTATGATATTGGATGTATGTATTACCATGTATTATGGGGAACGTCCACTTGAATGTGATGGTTTGGATTTGATTGGCCCGTTGATTCGTGTGCTGGGTTTTAATTGGTCAGCCGATTGGGGGGTTTTCTGCTCATATTCGATGGAGCATTCCCCTCTTGAAATCCGACCAATCGAACGTTCGTATGATTGTCGTTTTTAACCCTATCGATCGATTCTTTGTACTGAATTTTGTAAAAAGTGTCCTGGGGTGATTGGTATCACACTAATTAAAGCCACACACTAATTCTATGTTGATGATGGTTTCCAGCAATCTGATGGGCTCAATCCTTCTCTGTACATTTGGTTATGTCGATCGATTTTCACGTTCTCCGTGTCCATGGTCCAGTATAGAATACACATACCACCATATATATATATATATATATATAGTGGTATGTGTATTCTAAACTGGACCATATATATATATATGGTGGTATGTGTATTCTAAACTGGACATATATATATATATATATATATACGGCCAAATATAATATGCCAATATAATATTATCTCTTATAGATTCCGAGCGAAGACGACATCAAACCGCGCAAGAAAAAGAAAAAACACAAGCAATTGGACCAGCCCAACACGCTGCTGCAGCCGGCGCTGGCGGCGTTTCCAGACGTCCAGAAACCGCCCGTGCCCACGTTTTTGGAACGGCGCGGCGACGTAGCGGACGTTTCGAACGTTCCCTACGTACCCACGTACCCGCCGTCGGCCGCCGAATTGTACGCGGCCATGTTTCAGGACCCGCCAGTGTTTTCCGGGTACTAGTATATATATATATATATATATATATATATATATATATATATATGCAAACATTGGATCCTTTTTCCTTTTGTAATCAAAATTGGGTTTTTTTCTCAACCTTTGTGTGTTCTACTCAAAATATCCTCGGGCGATATTGGTTGAATGAACCGCCGAACAATCGCCAGACCTTCGAAATTTCATATAAAACTGAGTTGAAGATGAGACTGCAATGCATCAATATCAATCTTTTTAGCTAATCATATTGCAACCTTCATTATTTATAGCCAATCATACTCGTTTGCTCGATTAGTTGGCGATTTCATCAATCCCCCAAAAAATAGGCGAATATTTGACTGAAATGCACAATACGACTTTGGTCGGAAACACTCAATGTTATTTTTCAAGCATGGACTGAAATTTTGTGTGGAGAAAGTTGTCCTGTGGTGCAAGAAATAGTAAAAAATCTCCTTTTTTTTTAATAAATATAATAAAGATCATTTTTTATTATATTTTTCTAATATTTTACTTATTTGGATTCACATGCATTTCGGTACTAATTCGATGTTCATGATGGTTTCGTGCAATCTGATTGGATCATTCGTTCTGTCGTTTCTCCTTGCGTGATACATTTGGTTGCGTGGAATCCTTGTACACACTCCAATTTCGTTAAGAATCGACAATACCACAACAATATATATATATATGGTGTAGACGATGGCGCCAAGGACGAGGCGGCCGCTTGATTATGGATCGAATTCCGCGGTACGGAAGCAGTCGGGAGGTTCAAGCGCCGCCACCACATGCGGAACGAAACCCGATGGACGTGCCGAGAAAGGCGATCAATCGAGCTGCAATTGCCGCCATTTGCAACATGAGCGACTCGGAAGACGAGGTGGTGGACCTCGTGCCAGACGAAGACAAGGCTCGACCTACGAAATACATATTGGTCGTGTAGTTATTAATAGAACTATGTGGATTCGATACGAAGACCCCGTCGAATCGAATCTCGCCCCGAATCGAATCACGAATCGACTGTGTTGGCTAATCCATTTTTGAGTGGACTTGATTGGCTCTTGCAGAAAGAACAAGGATATTCAACCAATCAGAACCCCGGCGTGATTCAATTTTGATTAAACAAACCAGGCGAATTTTGGAAGTTTATAGCGAATGACTAGTACACTTTAGTTAAACGAGCAAGAATACACAATCGTTGCGTCCGACATAAAGAGACACCTACTTGTCCAACTTAAGTGAAACAGGTCTCATGTCTCTTCACGAACGATGGATATATATATATTATATACACTAGACCTTCAGCCAAGATGTGGACTTTTGTGTTCAATTGCCAAATCCATCCATCGCTTTTTTGTACGGATTTGTGTAGGTAGAGGTGATGCCTGTCACACTCATTTAAGGCACACACTAATTAGTTGTTGATTGGTTGATGAGTTCTTGCAAAAATCGGATTCGCAATAATTCTTCTGCCAAATCTTCTGCACATTTGGTTGTGTCGATACATTCGGCACGTCGCTCCAGTTTAGAATGAACACAATAATATGCGTTGGTGTATGAATGATCTCACGCTCCTGAAACAACGAAGGGCTACCGGTTGTGTACAGTACTTCGTTTTGGGTTGGATTTCCGCATCCAACGCATCGAACTATACACTCCCGAGTACACTCTCAAACATTCAATTGTGATGTAGGGCGTGTACTATGCTATTTATGGTGCACTCCGTTTATACGTAAATAAACCTCCCCTTTCACACGGTACGCGGGGCGCTATTTCGTTGCCGCAGTTTACTGTAAATATTTAAGTCTAAAAACGCATGGTATCGACAACAGAATAAGAGATAGAATTGTGTGTCTCAGATATTAAATTGATAAAGAAATGACAATGAACTATAATATAATAGACTTCTCACCGACCGGTACTTTTTGTACACAGACTACTATGGGTTGGGCCAACATTTGGCCAAAACTATTAAAAGTAACTGGATCATTGAATCCGATTTGTTTATGGACATTAGACAAAAGCATTAAGGTATAACGAGTCCAATCCTAAGCAACGTTAAACTATACAAAAATGGACCCACGAATACACCGCAAGGCGTGTACTACTTTGTCCAACAAGAATTGTCAGATTTGGTTCAAGGACGTGTGAAAAAATCAAATTTTATGAATGTACGATTCTGCTTGGTGCAAATCGTCTATTTTGATTCAGGCTACTTCTAGACTTTTTCACTAAAAAGATTCGACATCCTTCAAAAAATATGGGTTTACAAACTTTTTTATCACAGATCTTAGGAATCAAAGTCCCGTCGGCCTCGCAAAATCCACGTTAACATCGTTAAAACCGTACATTCATGTTGCTATTGACTTTATGTTTAGAATGACAGCAGCTGTATATTCTGAGCTCAAATACGAATTTGAATGGGGAAAATTGTGTCACGTTAAATGAAGCGTAGCTACCAGTGGTTTCACTCGTGTCGCAAC